TACGAGCCTTCGCGGCTTTTGGCGAGGTGGAGTTCATGAACAGGAGTTCACGTGCAGTTATCACGAACAGATGCGAAAGACAGAGGTAGATTCCTAGGCGGTGGGAGCGACAGAGGAGCATAATTGGAAGGGCGGACGCGAGAAAAGGAAATTCACGCGGAAAGGAAAGCCTGCAGAAAAGGAAAGTTAGCGCAGAGATTTTCTGAAGATATTCCATGACTCAGGAAAGGCAAGGAAATGGAATCTGTTGCTGCACTCGGGAAAGGAAAATTTTCTTTCTGGAAGGAAAGCGGAGGCGGAGTTTTTCTGGAAGAGAAGCGGAAACGAAGCTTTTTCTGAGAAGGAAAACAGAGCTTTTCTGGAAGTAAAAATGAGCTTTTCTGGAAAGCGGAGACGAAACTTTTCTTGGAAGTTTAAGAAAAATGATTTCTGGGAAAGTTTAATTAAGGAAAATTTAATTAAGAGAAAACTCTTTTTATGGAAAACTTAATAAAGGGAATTTTAATCAAAGGATTATTTTAAAAGATTTGTTGTCTAACCCACATTGGTGCATAAGGAACTCAATGATGTAGTTTCTCCTAAGGAGTTGGATATTCGCCAAGGTAGAGATTTTTTAGACATATGTATTTCTCTTAAGGGGTTGGATATTCGCCAAGGTGGAAGGTGGAGATTTGTTGGGTATTGGGTATATGTATTTCTCCTGAGGGGCTGAATATTCGCTAAGGTGGAGATTTGTTAGGTATGACTCATATACCATAAATAGGACAGATTTTGGAGCGGAGAGTGGAATGGAGCGGAAGGATCTGTCCAATCGAGGGAGTTTTATTATGTGGGTTGGGGGTGCGGGGGCAGCACCCTGTGGTTTGGTACATAGGTAATTTAAGTAATTACATATTGTACTACAGGGTTATATATATATTATGTTTGTAGCCCTAGGTAACTCTCTGAGTCCCTGATATTCTGAAATCTTGTATTTTGTACTCTTTTCTGAATATTGAAAAGAAAGTCGCCGCTCCGCTTCCGAGCTTGCCGCTCCGCTTCCGAGGATGTAGGCATCTTTGTCGAACCTCGTAAATCTCTGTGTGTTCTTCTGGATTTGTGTCGATTCCTATTTTTCTTCGCCCTAGAATTAATGCATATTTTAATTTTTTTAATTATTATTTTAATGGATTACATTAATTTTAAGCCATAAATGCTAGTGATTTTTGAGTATAAATAGGCAAATAAGATGAGGATGGTGGTGGAGTCCCCGACTCTGCCTAACAGGTGATCCGAGATTTCCCAGTAAAAGAAAGTCTTTTCCAACCAGCGCAGTAGATGATCAACCAGATCATCTTTCGTGTTGAAGTGTAAAAGAAAATCGTCCCTATCTTGCGTAGCAGACGATCAACGAGATCCTCTTTCATGTTGCGGTGCAAAAAAAAATTGTTCCCGTTCTAGATAGCAGTTGAGCAACGAGATCCTCTTTTATGTTGCGGTGCAAAAGAAAGTCATCCCCATTTTACATAGCAGACGATCATTGATATCCTTTTTCTTGTTGTGATACAGAAGAAATTTGTCCTCGTCCTGTGTAACAATCAACCAAAAAAATCATCTTTTTTGTTGTTTTGAAGGAGAAAGTTATCTTCATCCCTCTCTAGTAGATGAGTTGGATAATCTTGCTTGTTGCTACGCATTCTGGTGGAGATGGAGAAATGTTTGAGTTTTCCTACCACACTTTGAGAGGGAGATTTTCATGCTTCTGTGATGACAATATCTGGGGACTTGCTAAAGATTAGCATAAATGCTCAAATTTCGGGGAGGTGATGCCGTCTCTACTGAAAGAGGTGTTGATTTTTAATGGCTCTTTCATAGTTTGTTGTGACATTTGCACATGATGATGATGTGTCTTTATATATGTTCTGCTTGAATCAATAAAAAATTTGATATTGCTTCTGAGCTATGATTTTGTCTTTCCTTCTGCGATGTTTTTGCCCTACTTCTGGGGTGTTGTTATCCAACTTATGGGTTGCATATTCGTGCTCGTCTCTTCTAAGGTTTATGCCTCAAACATGTGAAAGTTTGCAATCAAAGTTATCATGTGCATTTTATATAAAAAGAATTGCTTACCTTTTAATGCTCGTTCTTTCTGACATTTGTGCCCTCTTAGGCTTATATATTCTGAGGCTTGTGTCTTCTAATAGCTTGAAATGTGTTGATTCCTTTTGAGACTCGCAACCTTCTGAGGTTTTGATGTATCTTTGTTTTCTAAGGCTTGTATTCTCTGAAGTTTTTGATGTAATTGTGTCTTCTGAGGCTTGCAGTCTTCTGAGATCTTTGAGTGAAGACCCCGTCAACCACTTGCTCACATAGAGTATTTCTAGTGAGGACCTAGTCCACTACCAACTTCCCATCGAGATTTGTCTTTTGGGCTCAACTTCCATGGGTTTCGGATCCGGCCATCGAGTCTTGTCTCTTTGGCTCGACTTCTAAGAGCATGGTAACTTTCGATCGACATTGCCTCTTGAGCTTGTCTTATAGGAGTAACTTAGCTTCCCATCAAGTTTTGCTTTCTAGGCTCGACTTCCAAGGGCACCGTTTCTTCCCATCTGTTTTGCCCTTGGGCTCACCTCTCAAGAGCACTATAGCTTCCCATCGAGTCTTGTTTTTTGGGCTCAACTTCCAGGGGTACTAGTAGAGACCTTATCGGCCACTATGAATGTTCAACTTTCCCCGGGTTGTTAATCGAAACACGTCTATTTGACAACTTTAGCTTGTGTTGGAGCAGAGTTGAATAGAGAATTCATTAAGGATGTAATACCCGTCCTGGGTTGTATATCCGAAGATGCTCGACCACATTAACCTGTGTCGAATAAAGTCATATGAAATATACCGATGATGGTTAACATATCCTAGGTTTTTTATCGAAGTTTCTACTTGACGATCATAACTTTTTATTGAAGAGGTCGTCAGAAATCCACCAAGGATTTTTTACTTATCTGAGACTATTAGTTGAAGCTTCTGGTTGAAGACTGTAGCTTGTGATAGAAGAGGTCGAATCGAGTCCCCCTTAGATCGATTAAGCCCATAATGAGGTGTCAGAGATGCTCCGTGTTTTTTGAGACTGGGGCGCAAGTCGCAATAGACCGTATGTTTTCTTGAAAATATGGTTGCAATCACTCAAGAAAAATGTATAATAACTCATTAGTTGTTGTTTTGAATCTATTGACCCCAACAAGTATGTTTTCCGCATGAACTTCTACAACAACCCATGTATTGAGCTTTGAAGAGATCAATTTCTTAATCTAGTTGGCGAGACACTCTACTATAGTGAGGGGCACTGGGAAGCGTTATTTGCAATGAGGATTGCGCCCATTTTAGAGTGTTTTTCAAAGACTTATTGTCTGAACAAAATATGAGATGACTACTCTTCCACAGTCGTGTCCGAGATGTTAACGTGAACGATCATTCGAGACTGCATTGAATGTTGCCCCCCAACCTGAAAGAAGTTGTGAAAGAATGTGTTTGAATCGGAGGTGAGAAGACAACCCACTACAATCATGCTCGGGACGTTCACATGAACGACATTTTGAGATTTCAGTGAAGGTTGCTCCCCATGTTGAAGAATGCTCTAGAGATGATCTTCAATATGCAAAAAGGAGTTTTTCGCCAGTTGAATGATGTACATCATTGGGAAATGAAGTTGGGGCGAAGTGTCTCGAAGTTGAAGACAATATTAAATGATGTTTTATTTCTCACAGACGGTATCAAACTGATGCATACTAAAAAATTCGCGGCACTAGAGTAGTGTATTATTATATTAGCGTGGTACGAAGATTCAACACACACTTAGAAGAGAGAAAATAACTAATAGTGACATCAAAAAATTTTATGTGGAAAACTCAGGAAGGGAAAAAACCACGAGGCCTAGCCCTGCTGAAGAAATTCACTATAAATTGGATATTACATGTATAATCCCTCTTTATACATGTGGGAAATGGTTGAACACTTTTCAGAGTTACAACATCAATGCACGAATGAACTTGTTGTAAGAAGTGAGTGACAGCTGATGGTGATCGACGACAATCGCCAAATGATGGTCGACAGTAGTCGGTGGAGATTGACAGTGATCAGGGGTGGTCCGCGATGGTCAACGACGGTTGACGGTGTTTGACAGTGGCAAGAGCGGTGTTGGACTTCAACTCCTTCAAGCTTCAAGCTCTTTCTCAGACTTCAAGCTCTTTCTCAGACTTCAAGCTCCATTTTTTCTCATGAGAGGGGTGAGACTCTATTAATAGTGTTATGGGTGCAATTGTTACAAAAATATGAATTGTTTTGATTGGACGATCCGAAGAGTTTCCTTTGATCCAATGGTGTTTGATGGACATTTGAATGTCTTAATGATGTTGGAGTTGTGCGATCTTGGGCTCGTTAGATTCATCTTGTTGAGACGCTCGATTTGACTATGAACTCGTGACATTCAATATCCGTTTTAACATTCCAAATGTTTCTAGAAAACTTTCAAACATGATTTATTCTCTTAATCGGGGCTTGATTTGACTCAGATTTGACCAAATTTTGTATCATTTAGTCTATCTCGTCGAATCAGTCAGCTTGACTATATGTTTGTTGAAATCCACTTCTAGATGACTTTTTTTCAACATTTGAATGCTTACTGTTCAAAATATTGCCTCGAAATCCGTATCACGCCTCGAGATTTATGTCGAATGAGGAAAATTTATTAGTGGCATATCAATAGTTATATTCAAAATATTCAAGAGAAGTGTGTGAATTATAGTATTTAAAGTTGACTTTGTGAAAATATTATTATTAGATCATTATTATACTATTTAAGTCATATAAAAAAGCTCTAATATTTATTATGTTATTGTTCAGTCCTCAATATGAACCTGGTTAAATTGTTTAACTTTTGAATCTTTTTTCAGTTATTATTCTATTTAAGTCATACATGACGTATATTAATGACAATTTTTACTGTTTTTATATGATCTTTAATGCAGCTTCTGGAGTATAATGAATCTAAGACTGCTGCTGCTGATCCGGAGGGTGATTCCAATGAGCTGAATAGAGAAGACAAAGCCAGCTAGAAAAAAGAGCCCGATCTCAATGGTGCTTTGAAAAGGTGACCAGCCATGATTAGCAGCCATGAATCATGGCTGCAATTGAATATTAGAAGACAGGAAATGCTTTGAAAAGGTAAGCAGCCATTAAGACAAAGCCAGCTAGAAAGAAGAGCCCGATCTCAATGCTGCTTTGAAAAGGTGAGCAGCCATGAATCATGGTTGCAATTGAATATTAGAAGACAGGAAATGCTTTGAAAAGGTAAGCAGCCATTATTCTCGATGGTTTTTTTTCTTGCACATGTTTTATATTGAATCATATTCAAGTTAAATGGAAGACTATGCGTGTTCCAGTTGATATAACCGTTTTGTCATTTATGTATATTTATTTGATTTTGTACCTTCTGAACCGTCTTATGCCAAATGAAGATAAGCCTTGACTTCATTTTACACTGTTTTATTGTCACCGCAACTTTGTCTCCATAATGAATGCTTGGCCTTTCTAATGCTTGCAGAAAAACGAATTGAGATCTCTCTTACCCATAAGTCTTCTTCACAATGGCTTTTTCACTGGCTGTCATAAGAATGAGGACAGCACGCATAGCAGTTTTAGCTGGAGATGTCAGCGCAAGGTTCCTTCATATCTTCATAAGTTGGTTTTCACTCAAGAATTCATGGCAGCTTTACGAACAATAACAATGAAAGAGAACGAGATTAAAAAGGCTACTTCTCTGCTAGAAGTGGTGGAGAAATTTTATAGCCTGCTTTTTTTTTCCTGCTAATGGCACTAATGATAAAATTATTTGGGGCATCTACATACATTGAAAATCGAATGATAGCCCACAGAAGGTGTTTTTCTCTGTTTCAGTTTAATAACCCAATTTCTATGTATTTAGTTATCTAACACCTAAACTTTACCTTTATATTTATAGCTGAATATGTATCATGTCATATAAAAAATTCCATTTAAAAGTGAAATGCCATTTTTATGCATATATAAGGCGGACTATATGTAAAAATTAAACTTTTGGTGCTAGATATGTAAATAGATAGAAATTGAATGGTATAATTGATCAGCCTTTCTATGTAATACTAGTTACCGTTATACCAAACAAACCTTCAACAATTTAACACATAATCTTAAATGACATTTCTCTGTTTTTTTACATCGAAAAAAACACTGATTTCAGGCAGCAAGAGCAAATAAAATATTCTCATCATCACTGATTCATAGGAGGGTCAGTGGTTCTGATTTTTGCTTGTAAAACTATAGTTATAAATATATATGTATTTGTGTTTTATGTATCACCAAACTTATTTAAGATTATAAAAGTCAGATGTAGAATTATAATTTTGTATATGCAATTTTATAGTGCTTTTAATTATTTTCTTGGACTTCTAATGTTAAATATTTTCATTACATCATAGCAGGAGTTGTGCGAAATTTTTTAGTGCCCTTTTTTAAGTAAGTGCTTGCCAATTATTTTCTTTTCTTTAGGTAAGATGAGTCTCAAACTTGTAATTTGCTCCCATAACAGTGTTTAAGAGGGGGTCAATAGTATTTATTATAATTATCTCGATGAAAAATATTGAGATGATTACAAATCTAACACAACATGTTGTTAATAGTTCTCAATGTTCCTTTATGTAGTAGAGCAACTTGAACTCAATAATCTTAAATATTTAATTTGAAAGAATATTTATCAAACATGTGTCAAAATTTGCGTTCGATGATAAAAATTAATTGATGATAGGTCAAAGTGATAATTCACATGTATTTTATAACAATTTTTAAGATAAGTATAAGAATTAAACAGGCAACCAAACAGGCTTAGGTATTTAAAATATACAGTTTTTTATTTTATTTTACGTGTATATAACTAAATAGGAAAAATAATTTTCATGTATTTACTTTACAGACAACTAAATGGCCTACAAGCAACCGGCCTACAGTTATATAATACACTGCAATTATATTACGCTGCATTCTTTTTTTACTTGGCATTTGTTTTACAGACAATCAAACAGCCCCTTAAATTATATTATTCGTGCTTGTAAATAAATTGAACGGTAAGTTGTGCAAGCTTTTTCATTTAACAGTCTAGCAGTTACAAGTGTTTTATGTTTGTTTGATTAGTTAATCAAATGATCATGAAGAGCTCTAATTGAGTCGAGCCACAAGTAATCATTTGCACTCCTAACAAATATAGTCAAATTTCTAATCTTCCATTTTATGGCTTAATTTATTTTGATTTGGTTTCCAATTATGAACTATTTTATGCTCAAAACCTCGTCACTGTAAAAAATAAAACAGGTTCACTGCAGCGATGATTTGCATGAGATACCCATAGATATGATACGAGCGAAATGCAGACTTGACAAAATAAAAATAAATTTTGCTTAGTTTGGACCTCCCTGTAACTATGGATCATATTTTCTTTTGTGAATGCCCAAGGCTCCCTTGAGCAGGTACACTTCTCCAAAGCTTTCTTACCATCACTGTTTGATTTATATAATGGTATTTTTTATGTGATATGAAAGATTTAGGTGTTATAAATGTAAAAAGCAAAATTGAAGTGTTAGATATGTAAATTCATAAGAATTGAGTGGTATGTATGTAAATTCCCCTTCTGTGTGTTTTTTGCTTAATCACTGTGCAGGGTTTCCGTGACAGCTAAATTTTTGTTGGTAACATACAAAACAAACACAGGCAAATTGGGAATGCTGGTCTTGGTAGAAAACAGAAGGAAGTTGTTGATGCGAAGCATTCTTCTGCTTGAGTCCTGAATATCTCTATAATTGGAGAAAAGCTAAAATCCAAGATGGTAGATATTAAGATGCCAAAAAAGAGAGTTGACAAAAAATTGGTGCAAGATAAATGAGTATTATAGCAGGATGGGGAAGAAATCTTAATATAGGAGGGCAGCTTTTTTTTCCTTTTTCTTTTTTTAAATATTCGGATGACTTCATAAAAGCATGAGAATAAATGTTGAAGGTTTGCGGAAACTAATCCTTGGTTTTGCCATCGTTGGCTCAGAATAGATTAGTGAATTTTTCTTTATTATATGAACTAGGGGCTATATTCGATGGGGAAATTTTGCTGTTCAGTATGCTTGCTAATTTTTTTCCTTGTGCCCGCTTCTCTAATATTAAAATTTTTAAAGTGTCATTTAATGTGATAGACGGTTGAGTTGTAAGACTTCTCTGGCCTGGGATTGATTCATACGGGAATGTATGTCACATATGAGGAGCGATATTCTCAAATACCACTATTTTCATATATGTATGTATGTATGTATGTATGTATGTATGTATGTATGTATATAAAAGAGTTCAGGAAGTAAAAGCAGGACTCGATCTAGTAACTAATGCCAGTCCGCAAAAGAGACTTCCAAAATAAACATTCCAGCATGATCTGTGAAGTAGCGTCTCTCCCAACCGAGAAACATAGGTTTTGTTTTTTGTAACAACTTCCCCGAAAGAACGTGAGAGCAGCCAATAAGGAAATACCAGAACACCGAAATATAAGACCATCCATTCATGCATGGAGTAGAGAGGGGGAGGCAAAAAGTAAAAGAACCTAACCATAGAAAATCAAAAATAAATCAAGCCAATGTGAGAGATGTATAGCAAAAACCTTATAAGTGTAATAAACATTTAACAAGCACCAATATAGCAGCTCATAAAAGACAGATTTCTGATGCTATCGAGGTTGTCCACCCTATATTTCCATCTTTGATTTATTTTCTTTAACAGGGAGCTTAATTTTGTATAGTGTAGTCTCTTTTGATGGAGAGTAATTCCTAAAGATTCTAGAGTTTTTTTCAAGCCAAATGCAATACTATATAATGTGAATAGCAAGCCCGAAAAATTTCCTTGCCAGCTTAGAAGAAATATTATCAGCATATGATATAATTTGTTACAAAGTACCTCCCAAATGAAATAAATTCTTAAAAGGAATGCTGCTTGTGAGAGCAGAGGAAAATAGAAAGATTAAAAAAAAGAGTATGGGTTTATGCCCATATAGCATAGAACACAATCCTTAGGGTGTGTGTTGCAGACTGGTAAATTTCTCATGCAGATTAAAATCCATTGTGAGGCTATATAAATCCATTAATACGAAAAAAAATCCTCATTTTATTTTCTTCCGTCTCTCTTTCTTATTTTTTGTTTTTTTTGTCGTTCGTAAATCGTAAATGTGCATGAGCTTATGGCATCGCCTTAACAAGCCGACAGTTGCGGCGGAGACC